TTTAAATCTCAAGCTAGTCAAGCAAACGAGTGAGTGTTCTCACAACTTTTTGACCGATTCCTCATTCACTCCATTCCCCTGCAGTCCTTAATTCACTTCTTCCACCTTTCTTCAGTTATTTCCCCTTCCACTCCTTCATAACCCCCCTCTCCCTCGCCCCGCCCTCCCATTCGCTCTCTCCCTTGAACTCTCTCCATCATCCCCTTCCTCCCCCCGCATTGATTCTCTCCCACTCCACTCAACACTGGAGAGACTAAGAGGGCCGGGCGTGGTGTAGACTCCACCACTCCCACGGATCCAGATAGAATTCGCCCCTGACAGCCGTGGCACTGGAATCAAACTTGACGTCCTAGAAAATGAAAATAAACTATTTGGTGGTGATAATGATGCTACCCTACCCTGGCTGCGGTGCACAAGCACACCCCAACAAAAGAAGAACACTCAACAACGTTAAAAATAAAACAAATATATAATAGGCGACGTTTAAGGCATTGGCACTTTTTTCATAGCGCATGCATAGGTACTCACTCCCCGCTGTACGATCTCATGCACTGACCGTCGTGTTACGGCACGAACTCTGCACAGGGACCCATCTGATCGGGGAGTCTATGAGTCCGAAGCTGTCGATGTACAGAGGTACTACTGTATAGGGATCCGTCCTCTCCATGGTTGGAATATTCAATTGCTCAACTCCAGATATGAATGCTGTAATACTTGCTATATTAATGGCTTGAGATATTAACTTAAGATATTGAGATATTAACTTGGGATATTGAGATATTAACTTGAGATATTGAGATATATTGAGATATTAACTTGAGATATTAACTTAAGATATTGAGATATTAACTTGAGATATATTGAGATATTAACTTGAGATATTAACTTAAGATATTGAGATATTAACTTGAGATATTGAAATATTATATTGAGATATTGAGATATTAATGATTGGATACCTGCGTTGCCTTTCTACTGTTCGCCTTTTGGCGTTATTCTTCGGTCTAACGCTGGCGAGACAAAGTCATAAAGAAGGATGTCTCTCGTGTCGTGCAATCAGTTTTAAAGACAATGCATATATCATTATAAGAGCATATCCCCCCTCCCCAGCCTCACGTCCTCTTACCCGAGCGCTCACGCGCCCCCCCATCTCCCTCTCCCCCCTTGCCTCCTCCCCCCTGTCTTACCTATATAACCTCTTGCCACGGCAGCTCTCCTGCCGACTTCAGCATTTTCTTGCTGTGGGTGTTCCACCTGATGAGGATCGCTTGTGTTGCGATCGAAACGTCGTGATTTGTTTTATTTTATTTATACGTACCTACGTGACTTTACCGAAAGAACCAAAGAGTAAAGGGCAAGTTTGTTTGCATGTTTTACCACAGGTGTGTATGTACCTTCTTTCACAACCATGATAATCAGAGGTGCGGTACGTGTTAAAGCAGACTCGATGCTTTGCCAAATACTGCTGGTGTCTATTTGGGGGCTCGAACATCTTAACACCTGCCTTGTTCTTGCCAGTGTAGTGGGTTCTCACGGAGACCGGAGACGTAGCTTTAGAGGCAACACGTTTATTTCAATAACCGTAACACAAAGGCCCTTTTCCCAACTACCTGGGGAGGTATGGTCTCCGGGCTGACGTGCCCTATCACTGGGACCACGGGTTCTCAGTCCTCCGGCTAAGGGTGACCTAGGGGAGGCTATCCTGACCCGACCCAGCCAAGGTGCGGGTCTCGACCACTGGCCCGCGCTCGGCCCCGGCCCTTAAAAGGACGTCGGGTCCCGGGGGTCCCGGGGGTCCTTGCCTAGCTGGTCTCCTGTCTTCGTCTTCAGAGCACTGCCTCGAGCCGTCCTGAGGTCCGTCTTTTATATCCACCTCGGGGACTCTCCGCCCCCGGTACCGTCCCCCCTTCTGGAACCTTCCAGGGGGCTATGGAATAACCCCCCAACCCTTCACCTGGGGTCGGGGGAACTCGGCCTCTCGACGGTCCGGCTCTTTCTCTCTGTCTCAGGGTGGCACCCCCTACGGTCCCGTTCCCGCAACTACAGGTAAGTGTACATAGGGCGGCGTGTGCTATGTATTTCTGACGCTGCACCAGCAAGGGGTAATAACCCTGGTACCGTTTTCATCAGTGCGGAATGCCTGCTATCGTGCACGGCCTGTAATCTAATCCGGGAAGCAGCCTAACACAAACACAGCTCTCTCTCAAATCCCCCAATCCCACCGGTCCACGTACTTTATGATAAAATGTTTTTGTTCGCGTCTTCGAACTCACCGTTGCAGAGCCTGGCCGACTGTAACCTTTGACCCGTTGCTGCACGCTCTGTTTGTGTGCCGCGCATCAACACGTGTGCTGTGTATGCTTCAACGCGGCCGGCCTGTAAAGCTCTATGCCCCCGATTTTGGGGGGGCCGCCATGTAATCCGGTCTGGGGGTCTCAGCCAATTTCCTGGTCCGGGGAAACCGTGGGACGTCCCTGCTAGTGGGGTCCTCGGGTGAAAACCCATCGTACCAGGTGAGCCCTCCTCGAGACCCTACGGGGGTGCATGCGAGTGTTTTGTGGGGTGTGCGTGCGTTCGCGGGGGGGGGGGGGGGCGGTCCGAGGAGCGGGTGGCGCCGGCCGAGCTGCTCCGCTGCGGTGGCACCACGCACGTTTTGCCATAAGCACCGCGTGTGGTTAACGCAGACCTGGTGCCTTGCACAAGGCAGCGATTTGTGGCTGTTTGATCATCTTAACACCTGTTTTATTGCCAGGAAGGTTACAACCTATTCTTTTTGTTTCATTAGTTTTATACTGAAAAAAAATGTCTCATAGATGTCGCACAATGACGACGATGATGACGATGGGGGGGGGGGGGTGTGTCACGTGCTGTATATTGGCCGGGGCCGCACTCCAGGCCACCAGGGGCCGCCAGTTGTCCGCGTGGCGTGAAACGAAGAACACTGATCCTGCCGCACTACACTTCCAAGTCGACGACCCGAGTCGCAATACCACAACGCAGCCAATATCGGTGGCGAATAACCCCTGAACCGGTCCTGGGACTCCCCTAGGTCGACTCAGCCTTTAATTAATACCTGGTGTAACGCGTAAACATCGCCACTGGGGAGACAAAGGCGGCTGGGTGTGGGTTTCTGTCCACACCACCCCCGTGTGTCCCCTGTCCCGGCCCTCCATAGCTGATCGCTAACAGCACTTGCCATAACAGTCTATTAAACGCTCTACAGGGGATCTTTGTGCTACATTTGCCTGGAATTATCCAAAGTAAATTATTGATTGACAAGGTGGGGTGCCCTTGGGATGTACATCCGCGTGCGTACGTGCGCATGACATACCTGTTGATTCGCACACCGCGCTACGAACCCAGCCCAAGTGAGATCCATTACCCAGCCACAGTTAATGTGCAGTGGCGCGTGCTATCTGAACCCAGCGGGGCATACTCATTGATAACGAAGCTCCGTTTTCTTATATTTGGAGTTGAACAATATTTTTGAGCGATGCTGCTGCATTGGCAGTGGTGCACAAGCACAAATAACAAAACTGTGTATGCTCTTGAAATAATATATACAGGCATATCTCTTATAGCGCTCAGGATGCGTTATTGATAAACGGAGTGCTGTATGAAACAGCGCTATAGGAAGTCACTATAACATGGTTCCAATAGAGATGCGTTTCCAACAGCGCTATCATTTACCAATGAGAAATACAGTATCTGAGGGCTTCATTGGAGTATCGGTAAAAGCCTTAATAATGATACTGTGCACATGATCCATATATTTAAAAGGGAAATTTGTGAATATGTGTGTTTGTTTCAAAATGTTTAGCGTACTTCCCGACCTGCAACAAACTTGAAATTTGCCATGTGGGTACTTTCCAGACTGTACACCATGCAAAAATGAAAAAATATATATACTTTTTTTGGGGGGGGGGGGGCGCAATAATGCATATATTTTGCACGGCAAGTGAGCTGTGACGTCACATCTCTGTCATGTGACCCGTATGCGGAAGCGTAACACAGTGTGCCTGCTGATGTCACACAGGTCTAAGGCGTTCTTCGCGCAACATTACTTTATTATTCGAGTCGTTTACTGCCGTACGCATCCTGAAAGTTGTGTGTGTCTGCAGCAAGCGCGTGTATGTGTACCTATGGACGCGCGCACGTGTGTGTGTGTGGGGGGAGCGGTAGTGTAGTGGTTCGCGTACTGTGCTATGAACCCGGCGACCTGAGTTCGATTCCCGCTCAAGGCCACCACTGGTGACGAATATTTGAACTGGTCCTGACCCTCCGCTAGGTCTATTCAGCCTCAAACGAGTAATTGGTGTGGTGCGTGAATATCGCCACTGGGGAGACAAAGGCGGCCGGACGTGGTGAATCAAATCCCCGTTGTAAAGCTAGTAAATGTTTGAAAGCATTTTATGAATAAAATAATAACTTTTAATTTATGACATGAAACAATACAATAAGTTTCGTACTCACAAGTACATTAAGTCGGAGTTTGCTTAAGATTAACCACCGTCTGCCGTAAACACACGTTGCACGGGAAGCTATACTAACCAATGGGATTACACAGAATCAGAATCTGTATTTATCCTGGATAAATCCGATGAGCTATGAAGCTCTTTATCGCAGATGTCCAGTAGGGGTGGGTGAGAAGCTCGATCCATGGATCGCCAATGAATCGATGCAGTGATTAACCATTAAACGATTCTCTAACGTGGCTGTGGTATCGCCTATGAGCAGAATCGATATAATAGACACCTCAAATCAGGTTCCAGAAGATCATATATGGGCAAAGACACGACCCAATGGGCAACGCCATGCCCTCTTCTATATATGGGCTGATCCGCGCAGGATTATTTCCTCCAGGACAAAGAATGGAATAATGAAACAGCGTTATAAGAGGCAGCGCCTGTAATAGGCGACGTTTCGGGCCGTGGCCCTTCTTCATAGTCGTGAGTGTTTATGATTACACCGGCGGCTAGAAAACAAAGACACAATTCAGCTTTGGAAGCAGCTCCTGCGGCATTGCTTTATTTTTTCTTTGAAACAAAGAGCTGTACAAGCATTCAGAACACAGTGAAATATACATTGCCATTCAATACCTGTGGCGTGGTTTCCTGCTTATGTGCTCGAGTGATGGTAACTCCCACCAATAATATATGAAATGCTATGGAAACCGAAGGTGTATAATGAGTCAACACATTGCATAGTTACTCTCATAATCAGGTGACATTAAACGTTAAAACTCTCTATGCAGCATTAGGCAGGATTGTGTGCTTTTCTCTCTCTCTCTCAACAAAATCAGGCTATCGCACGTGCCGTGCCGTATCCTAGTTGCTGTTCTGCCATGTGCCGGTGCCACTTTGTGTCGCGACAGTCACTTTGTGTCGCTGGTCCATCCGTCGTCGAGTTCGTATCCCTTCATCTTCTCGCGGACGAAAGCGTCGAACTCCTCGTTCATCGCCACCGTGAACATCGTCTTCCAGTCGCCCACGGTCCCTGCGAGCGAGTGAAGGCGCCATCGTCACAACCGCTCTGCCCTAAGAAGCTCCCACCCACTCAAGCATGTGGTGCGAAACGTTGGAACATCGGCGCTGTACAAAACACATAGTGGCACAACCACCCCCCCCCCCCCCCCCCCCAGTATAATTGCTGGAAACTTTACGTGAAAGTAAGTCCAACATAAAATACAAAATACCTGGGAGCTGGATATAGATTGAGAAAGAACTTCGTAAATCCTACCAGCCAGAGGTTTGCGTACGTCCAAAAAGTGCGGAGTGAGCAACACGGAGTGTCTGTGCGTGAGCGCCCCCCCCCCCCCCCAAAAAAAAATCAGTGGTTGCTGGAGATTACGTCATCGCTCCCGCTGCAACCAGCCAATCGGCTGCCCGGAAAACAATGCTGACTCAACATGGCTGTCGTTGTGGCATCAAGTCTCCTGTGCAATGACCGCCATGACGTAAATGTGAGCGTTGTACGAGCGTGCGAGGTGCTCGCTAAACGGGGAGCGGTAGTGGTAGCAGTTAGCGGCGCAGCTCATGGGCCAACATCGGTGACGATTATCTGAACCAGTCCTGGGCCTCCCCTACGTCGACTCAGCCTCAAGTGAGTACCTGGTGCGAAGTGTAAACATCGCCACTAGGAGAGACAAAGGCGGCCACTAAGGTAGATGAAGGCGGCGTGGTGCTTGCCACTGACCCCCTCGTGTGCCGTGCTGGCTTGCAGAGGTGCTCGCTAACACAAAGATCCCCCGTATAGCCTGAACAGACTATTGGGGTGAGTGCTTTTTGTGAGCACCTATCATGGCCGGTACGGCACACGAGGGGGTAGGTGGCCGCACTACGCCCGGCCACATTTGCCTCCCTTAGTGGCGATGTTTACACTCGCTAACACACGCAATCACACATCCATCGGCGCACCTCCGCGCACTAAAAACTCACCCTTGCGCATGAACTTTTGCCCTCTATCAAAATAGGTCCTTGGTACCTGAGGATGACAAAGATAAAATGTTATTTTTAAGTACAGGTTGCATAAATACATTAATTCCTGGCGATGTTTCAACGTCAAATGCGAGCTTGAAGGCTGGAACGGCACACGAGGGGGTGGGTGGGTGGGTGGCCAGCACCACGCCCGGCCTCTTAATGTCTCCCTGTTTGGAGGTCGCATGCCAACACGTGGCTAGTTCAGCACACCGGTGTGTTGAAGAGTAAAACTCGATACTCTTATTTTATTTTATACCTACGCGACTTTACCGAAAGAACTAAAGAGTATGGATTCCTGCAGTCAGGAAAGCTTCAAATCAAGTAAAACTCGACTTGTAAATGTTATGGGTTTTACTCTCCAACACACCCGGTGCGCTGTACTAGTGACGAATTGGCCACGTTCTGTTTACGTGACAAACCTTACTAATTAGCTGTATCGGGTGGTGGCGGGTTTAACGACACATTTATATATTATGCGATCTAACCCCCCCCCCCCCAAAAAAAAAAAGAACCTGTATTATGGATGATATCGGTCGCGAAAGCCGACTACGTGTTCAACTAATCGGCATCATCGTGAAGATTACGATCACTGCCACCGTCGTTACTGTCACTTCAGGATCGATAATGATCTGCGCAGGCTTAGAAGTCTGGGGGTGGGGAGTCAACAGTGACTATCCTATGGACTGACATGACCCACACCCTGGGGAATGTGGAATTTCCACACGCCCGTTAACGCAGATGAACGCTGTTGCGTTGCTCATTTCAGCAGAGGCGTTGACTCTGATTGTTTTGTTGTTTGGAAGGTGCCTGAATGTGTCACAAAAGTGAACTTTGTTTAGAACCCGGGTGAGAGTCCGTTCTTATAGAGGGGCTGGCTTACAAGGGAGACGTGGGGTGTGTGTGTGTGTGAACCGACTACGTCGCTTATCTCAAAACTAAACTATTTCTTTTTTGTTTACCAGGTAAATGCCCACTGAGCTATATAGCTCTTTTTTAGAAGCGACATAGGCTACAAATAATAGCTCACCGAAGTGGCTTATAACGTGGAAATTTATAGCAGCCAAATACTCTAAACGCATGATTCTAAATGTGGAGAGAAGAACCGGAGGACCCAGAAACAATTCCACGCGGGGTGTGCGTGCGTTCGTGGGGGGGGGGTGCGAGGAGCGGGTGGCGCCGGCCGAGCTGCTCCGCTGCGGTGGCACCACACACGTTTTGCCATAAGCACCGCGTGTGGTTAACGCAGACCTGGTGCCTTGCACAAGGCAGCGATTTGTGGCTGTTTGATCATCTTAACACCTGTTTTATTGCCAGGAAGGTTACAACCTATTCTTATTGTTTCATTAGTTTTATACTGGAAAAAAATGTCTCATAGATGTCGCACAATGACGACGATGACGACGATGGGGGGGGGGGGGGTGTCACGTGCTGTATATTGGCCGGGGCCGCACTCCAGGCCACCAGGGGCCGCCAGTTGTCCGCGTGGCGTGAAACGAAGAACACTGATCCTGCCGCACTACACTTCCAAGTCGACGACCCGAGTCGCAATACCACAACGCAGCCAATATCGGTGGCGAATAACCCCTGAACCGGTCCTGGGACTCCCCTAGGTCGACTCAGCCTTTAATTAATACCTGGTGTAACGCGTAAACATCGCCACTGGGGAGACAAAGGCGGCTGGGTGTGGGTTTCTGTCCACACCACCCCCGTGTGTCCCCTGTCCCGGCCCTCCATAGCTGATCGCTAACAGCACTTGCCATAACAGTCTATTAAACGCTCTACGGGGGATCTTTGTGCTACATTTGTCTGGAATTATCCAAAGTAAATTATTGATTGACAAGGTGGGGTGCCCTTGGGATGTACATCCGCGTGCGTACGTGCGCATGACATACCTGTTGATTCGCACACCGCGCTACGAACCCAGCCCAAGTGAGATCCATTACCCGGCCACAGTTAATGTGCAGTGGCGCGTGCTATCTGAACCCAGCAGGGCATACTCATTGATAACGAAGCTCCGTTTTCTTAGATTTGGAGTTGAACAATATTTTTAAGCGATGCTGCTGCATTGGCAGTGGTGCACAAGCACAAATAACAAAACTGTGTATGCTCTTGAAATAATATATACAGGCATATCTCTTATAGCGCTCAGGATGCGTTATTGATAAACGGAGTGCTGTATGAAACAGCGCTATAGGAGGTCACTATAACATGGTTCCAGTAGAGATGCGTTTCCAGCAGCGCTATCATTTACCAATGAGAAATACAGTGTCTGAGGGCTTCATTGGAGTATCGGTAAAAGCCTTAATAATGATACTGTGCACATGATCCATATATTTAAAAGGGAAATTTGTGAATATGTGTGTTTGTTTCAAAATGTTTAGCGTACTTCCCGACCTGCAACAAACTTGAAATTTGCCATGTGGGTACTTTCCAGACTATACACCATGCAAAAATGAAAAAAAAATATATACTTTTTTTGGGGGGGGGGGCGCAATAATGCATATATTTTGCACGGCAAGTGAGCTGTGACGTCACATCTCTGTCATGTGACCCGTATGCGGAAGCGTAACACAGTGTGCCTGCTGATGTCACACAGGTCTAAGGCGTTCTTCGCGCAGCATTACTTTATTATTCGAGTCGTTTACTGCCGTACGCATCCTGAAAGTTGTGTCTGCAGCAAGCGCGTGTATGTGTACCTATGGACGCGCGCACGTGTGTGGGGGGGGAGTGGTAGTGTAGTGGTTCGCGTACTGTGCTATGAACCCGGCGACCTGAGTTCAATTCCCGCTCAAGGCCACCACTAGTGACGAATATTTGAACTGGTCCTGACCCTCCGCTAGGTCTATTCAGCCTCAAACGAGTAATTGGTGTGGTGCGTGAATATCGCCACTGGGGAGACAAAGGTGGCCGGACGTGGTGAATCAAATCCCCGTTGTAAAGTGAGTAAATGTTTGAAAGCATTTTATGAATAAAATAATAACTTTTAATTTATGACATGAAAAAATACAATAAGTTTCGTACTCACAAGTACATTAAGTCGGAGTTTGCTTAAGATTAACCACCGTCTGCCGTAAACACACGTTGCACGGGAAGCTATACTAACCAATGGGATTACACAGAATCAGAATCTGTATTTATCCTGGATAAATCCGATGAGCTATGAAGCTCTTTATCGCAGATGTCCAGTAGGGTCGGGTGAGAAACTCGATCCATGGATCGCCAATGAATCGATGCAGTGATTAGCCATTAAACGATTCTCTAACGTGGCTGTGGTATCGCCTGAGCAGAATCGATATAATAGACACCTCAAATCAGGTTCCAGAAGATCATATATGGGCAAAGACACGACCCAATGGGCAACGCCATGCCCTCTTCTATATATGGGCTGATCCGCGCAGGATTATTTCCTCCAGGACAAAGAATGGAATAATGAAACAGCGTTATAAGAGGCAGCGTTATAAGAGGCAGCGCCTGTAATAGGCGACATTTCGGGCCGTGGCCCTTCTTCATAGTCGTGAGTCTTTATGATTACACCGGCGGCTAGAAAACAAAGACACAATTCAGCTTTGGAAGCAGCTCCTGCGGCATTGCTTTATTTTTTCTTTGAAACAAAGAGCTGTACAAGCATTCAGAACACAGTGAAATATACATTGCCATTCAATACCTGTGGCGTGGTTTCCTGCTTATGTGCTCGAGTGATGGTAACTCCCACCAATAATATGTGAAATGCTATGGAAACCGAAGGTGTATAATGAGTCAACACATTGCATAGTTACTCTCATAATCAGGTGACATTAAACGTTAAAACTCTCTATGCAGCATTAGGCAGGATTGTGTGCTTTTCTCTCTCTCTCAACAAAATCAGGCTATCGCACGTGCCGTGCCGTATCCTAGTTGCTGTTCTGCCATGTGCCGGTGCCACTTTGTGTCGCGACAGTCACTTTGTGTCGCTGGTCCATCCGTCGTCGAGTTCGTATCCCTTCATCTTCTCGCGGACGAAAGCGTCGAACTCCTCGTTCATCGCCACCGTGAACATCGTCTTCCAGTCGCCCACGGTCCCTGCGAGCGAGTGAAGGCGCCATCGTCACAACCGCTCTGCCCTAAGAAGCTCCCACCCACTCAAGCATGTGGTGCGAAACGTTGGAACATCGGCGCTGTACAAAACACATAGTGGCACAACCACAACCACCCCCCCCCCCCCCCCCCCCCCCCCAGTATAATTGCTGGAAACTTTACGTGAAAGTAAGTCCAACATAAAATACAAAATACCTGGGAGCTGGATATAGATTGAGAAAGAACTTCGTAAATGCTACCAGCCAGGGGTTTGCATACATCCAAAAAGTGCGGAGTGAGCAACACGGAGTGTCTGTGCGTGAGCGCTCCCCCCCCCCAAAAAAAAATCAGTGGTTGCTGGAGATTACGTCATCGCTCCCGCTGCAACCAGCCAATCGGCTGCCCGGAAAACAATGCTGACTCAACATGGCTGTCGTTGTGGCATGAAGTCTCCTGTGCAATATGACCGCCATGACGTAAATGTGAGCGTTGTACGAGCGTGCGAGGTGCTCGCTAAACGGGGAGCGGTAGTGGTAGCAGTTAGCGGCGCAGCTCATGGGCCAACATCGGTGACGATGATCTGAACCAGTCCTGGGCCTCCCCTACGTCGACTCAGCCTCAAGTGAGTACCTGGTGCGAAGTGTAAACATCGCCACTAGGAGAGACAAAGGTGGCCACTAAGGTAGATGAAGGCGGCGTGGTGCTTGCCACTGACCCCCTCGTGTGCCGTGCTGGCTTGCAGAGGTGCTCGCTAACACAAAGATCCCCCGTATAGCCTGAACAGACTATTGGGGTGAGTGCTTTTTGTGAGCACCTATCATGGCCGGTACGGCACACGAGGGGGTAGGTGGCCGCACTACGCCCGGCCACATTTGCCTCCCTTAGTGGCGATGTTTACACTCGCTAACACACGCAATCACACATCCATCGGCGCACCTCCGCGCACTAAAAACTCACCCTTGCGCATGAACTTTTGCCCTCTA